GGCACACAGCTTATTGGACTTTATTGAAATACGATCGAAATAAGTTGCAATTTTTCGTTGCATTGCATACCTATTGCCTGTCTTTCTTACACATAAAACTCTCTTTGTTGATTGTTTAAAATCGACATTAATTGAACGATCGGTGTAAAAATATTGCAATTTCATCGTAAAAAATTGCAATTTTATTTCAATATTTTCATTGCACTGCGCTACTTGGATTGTGAGCTGGAGATTAATTTTCTAATTTTCAGGAAAATACTGTGATTCGTAAGGGGCTGAGTGGAGACATCAAATTAATGGTGAAACTTCCAACCATGCATCTCGTTCGCAAAGTTTAAAAATCTCCGCTCCTATTTTATTTTTTTAAAGGATAACAAATCAAAATTAGTCCTCGAAGTTTTTAGCATTGTCACCGCATAGAGAAGAAAAATCACGGAAGTTTACTCGAATTGACATTGAGTAGTTCTCCATTTAAAAAATGAAGTATGTCAAGAAGTCTGCAATGTCGCAAAGCGAGACAAATAGTTTAAGAGTTTCACTTTCAAATTATTCTATATATGTAATAATTCTGTTGAACCTTAAATCCCTGACGTAATTTAAAAAGAAGAAAAAATAAGTATTGCCTTATAAAATACTTTAAGGAGGTTTGCCTTTCATCAAATATTTCAGATACATGTTTGAGCTTTTCCCCCTTTAATAATTTATTTGATTAACAGGGGCTTGACAGGTCCTGGAGAAAAAAATTAAGAGGCATTCTTAATATTTACAATAATTACAATACTCTTTTTTATTTGTACGACAAAATTTATTTCAATTATAAATAGAAACGATTGATTTATAATGAAAACTGCTTAAAATTTATACACCTACTAAAATTTATTACATTCTAGAAGAAATAAAAAATTAAACTTTGATTTATTAAGTCTGTACAGGTTTGAAATGAAGGAGTGAAGAAAAGATGCTAAACAGATTACTTTTGTAGAATGGATTTACGAATAAGGGTGCAACAAATTCACTGTAGGTTTATGAGACAGACAGTGACAGGAGGTACAAAGGTAATTACTGAGCGAGAGTCATCCTCGAGGAGCTTCATTTGAAAATTTTCTTCAAGCTATTTGAATTGTGTGTTTTTTAAGGAAAAAACCTGTGGGAGACAGTTGAAAACCTAACTTATTCCTAGGAAAGAAAATGAGGTGGTGACTGGTTTGGAATCTGTAGCCATTACGGTATCCTCAAAGATGATATACATGTTGATTAGGAGGCATGTAGAGAAGAATCAAAATTGTGCGCAGCAAGTTTTGTACAAAACATTTTCTGAAGTTCTAGTATCAATCTTATCAGCCCAAAACACTGCAATTTTGGACTTTATCGCTGCATATTTTAGTTTGTAAAATTGGGAAGCTTTCATTCTTAGCAGAGCACACAGCCAAGCATCTGCAAAATAGCTGTACAATTGTTAGAAGACAAAGGAACTGATACAACGAACCAAACAAGTCATTGCCTCATTTCCATCCTCGATGATGTCAATTTATTTTTATCACTTTCCCGTCTGGGTTTGAAGATTTTCTTTAAAGTTGGAGCAAACAAACCCAAATGACCAATTTCAGGAATTTTTCCTGGACCTGAGAGCTAATTCTTTGTGGCAATGAACATTTTAAACATTCTTCACAAACTCTGAAAAAACTATAGAAATTTTTGTAGTAGGAAACCCTTTTTGGCTATTTTTTAAGGTAAAATTCACGAGAGGTAAAATTTAAGGAAAAAAAGTGTCAAACAACTCCTAAAATAAAACTGCAGTTTTTTAACATTTTTTTCATACGTTTTTAACATTGAAAAACTACAGTTAAGTTTTTTTATCCTTTTTTCTAACTTGCATTTTACTGCTTGTAAATTTTACTTGAAAAAATAGCCAAAAAGGGTATTCTAGTTAGAGAATTCAACAGTTTTTTTAAGCTTTGTCTTTTGAAATTTAAAAGCATTTTAAATATTCTTTAACAATCGTTACTACTAGGGATTCCATCTATCTCAATTTGGCTGTTTGATCGAGCTTGACAAACCCGAAAATATTACTTGCGGGGAGGGGGGGAGGGTGCTGTCTCAGTTCAAATAAAGCTCCTGGAAAGTATATAAAAACAAGTATGTAACAGGAGAAAATAGGATTAACTCAGGACAGCAATAGATATTAACTATATCACACACACTTAAAAAAATAATTGGCGGGACCAAGTATCATAATATATAGGAATGAAGCGTAAAGAGCTACGTTTGGAGACAATCACACAACTGGAAACATCAAAGCCTTTGTATTGAAATGAGGAAAGTCCTCATGGAAAATGGCACAAGTATTCCTTAATATATGACTATTCCTAAGAGTTGTAATACATTTACCTTTCAGCTGAATACAATTATTTCGGGACAGACTTGTTCATGGAAACAGAGCCAGAAAAATACACTCAAAGTGGGAGACAGACTTTATTTAGCAGGACAGTTGGACAAAAACCTGAAATTAGCAAAGACTCATATCTTGAGCTTCCTTGGGATGCTCTATCTCTGCCTCAAAACTGTCAAGGAGCAGACTCTTCTGCCTATACTGTGAGCTAAAAGCATCCTCAAAGGACTTTTGTAACCTTCGGCTCCAAGTACTGGCAAAAGAAGTCGATTCAGTTCATCTGCGAAATGCAGTCTGCTATTTCCAGTTTCAAGCTTGATGACAAGAAAACACTTTAACGTGAGTTTCAAGTTCCTGGATCTGCAGAAAACTGTAAGTTCATTCTTCACACCATTCATCACTTTAGAACGGGTAGCTTTTAGCCGGAGAAGATTCAACATTTCTGGAGAAAACCTCCTACAGCAAAAACTGTCCGTCAGGAAAAGTAGAATGTGGACTTGAAATAGAGAGAAGCAATATTGCCTCCTTTTACACAGCTCCAACACACTTCATTACAGATAAAAGTAGGAGTGAGAAGAAATTCAATTGAACAATTTTGTCTCCAAGACAGCAAATGAACAACATTCCAAGCACTGTAAATTACTGGCATAGCTTATCACTTTTTTGCCACTGGTGCTGTAAGCCTTTGCTTAATCTTTAAGGTTAGAATAAAAGAAGATAAGGTGACGAGAGTTTATGGACGTCCTACATTAAGCAAAAGGGAACCTATGTCATACATGCCTATGAGGTTTCCCCCTTGTGTGGTTCTTTTCCGCTCAATGATGTCCCAGAAATTATTGATCATTGAAAAACAGATTCAGCCTGTATTTTCTGTGAGAAAAATACGAGAAAAGTAAGTGAACATCTGTCGATTACTGTCCTGTTTTGGGTGGCAATGTTTAAACCAGACTTACTTGGCTGATCTTAATATAAATTCTACACAGCAAATGGAGGAAAGAAGTCTCAGATCAAATTCCAAGCAAGAATTTGACTCAATGTTTAGGTGTATAACTGACTCTTTCTCATCGTCAAAAATAACATAAGTGAACCCACAGCCATTTTGGTTTTATTTCTCTTTATTCACAGTTCCGAATCTGCGTTAATTATCTGTTAAACCTTTGAAAACAACCTTGCATTTTTCGTTACAGAACCAAAAATCATCTCATTATAAAAATTGGAAAATGGGGGTAACTCTTATCCTTCTGCATTTTCAAAAAAGGCTCTCCTTGAATAAAATACTGCTTTTCAAGATAAATTGTCTAAGATCAATATTTATTCAATTTTCAGTAGCACCTTGATCTGTGTTCTGGTTTAAACATTGCCAAAATCGTTTTCACCTCCTCTTGCCTCTAAGATCACAAGTAGATACAAATATTTACAAAAGTTTGGAACTAATTTGGGAGTCATTAATTACAAATTATGAGTCACAAAAGGACAAAATTAATTTAGTGGATAATGTTTACGATGAGCAATTCCTTGGCTTTAGTCCAGTGAATGCACTGTTGGGAATTTACTCTCTCAAGTTAATTCGGATCGATAATGGTGGTTGAATAACTGATTGCATTGAACAATATTACTAAAACTTGTGGTGACTATTTCTTTTTCTTTCCTGTATTTTTTATCTGTTTCTTTTTTATTTTTTCTTCTTCCTTTTTTTTCCTAGCAGAAGATAGAGAATTTCAATGTTTTGATTTATAACTGGACTTAAACCGTTGTCCTTTTGTATCAAAACATTCAATGAATGACTATTGTGCTCCTGTTTATAAATGAAAAAACTGCTACAGCTAATTTTACATTTTGGTCCGTTAATTTCAAAAACAGTTGCTTACTTTTTTACTTCACATTTTACACTAATCTCTAATAAGCAGAAGAAGAAAAAATTAACTAGAGAAAATATTTTGTTTCAGTCATAGGTTTCAGCACGAAGTGTGGGTTTCAGATTTTCAACAGCTCCTAATAAGACAGTTTTTGAAAAATGCCAGACGCTCGAAAATTAGGAATTGATCATTATTATTGCCATTTAACCCAATTCCTCCTCCTAACTCTCCAAAGTAGATGCAATTTCACAAAAGTGTAGGAAGGTTTGAACAGTTGATTTAAGTCATCACTAATTTACAAGATGATTACTTTGTATCATATAGGAGAAATTAACCCCTGGATAATAATTACCATGGAAAGTTGTCCTTCCAGTCGTTTCAGTAGAAATAAATTGACTTCTCAGGTATTTGAATACTTTATATTGCTTAGAATCAATACTTGGAATATTTTGTTTTTTAGTTATTTTTTTCAACCCTCTATCATCCTCTTTTACTTTGACTATTCTCTCCCTTGCCTTTTCATTATTTTAGCACAGATTTTGTCCATGAGGCTCAAAAGCTCACAAAAAGAGAAAAAAAAATATAAATAAATTAACTTGATGTGGATTCAATGGTAACGGGACAGAAAAGAAAAGAAAAAAAAATTCCATGCTGCATAGTAAAAGGTGGGACTGCTGTTGAGTTAGGGGAATCATAAAAGAGAGAAGAAAGCAAATAATTGTTCAACAAAGGGATGAAAAAGGTTAATAAATGAATTAGATGATTAGAAGACCAACATTTATTTCATAGGTAAAAACTGAGAGAAAAGAACAGATCAAAAGCAGAACGCAGCAATTTGAAAAAAGGAATAATTTTACAGGGAACACAATTGCCATTTACAGGACTGAGATTTTCTTTCGAAGTATCAGATTTTCAAGGAGCTCATTATTTAGGGGAAGGGAAAAATTGGCTTAAGCAGTACATACGCTTATTGACACGGCCCCAAACTAAGAGTGTGCACTATTATTTAATGTGATTAGATTCAAATTTAATTGACTTCTATCAATTATTAGCAGTACCCTGTTATTTAACAACGATCAAATATTGAGCCAGTATTAGCGAACCAGCAATAGAGGAAAAAGAACCGGTCCTATGTGAAGGGTTTGGGTAAAAATATTTATACATTTTAAAGCAGATTTACTGATGTACGGAGGACACAGGAGTAAATTACATGATATTCAATAACCCGATGCTAAGTAGGATGCTTTTCAAGTACAAATTCAATACAAAAATTGCCAGACAAAAGCATGGAGTTCAAATGGATAAAAGTTTTAATAAGTACTGCACACATACTTGATTAAATAATCAAATTGGTCCCTTTGGCAGAAAGATGTGAAAATGAAAAAGTTGGTTCCAAAAACTACAACAAGAGTTGTGCCAAAAATCTATCTAAGAACTGTTTTGAGACTTATCACCTTGGCAAGACAGGTTGCCAGGAATAACACGTTGACTGCCATGCGTACACTTGAAGGCCAGGTACTGATTACAGATAACTACTGACAAATTGATATTTCTGAGGAAAAGGCTTTCACCAATATTTTGCTAGTGCTTTGGTCACACACAAAATATTTCAAAGCTTTTTAAGTTCCTTGCGGTACTGAAAGGGAGAAAGCTTGTTAACACAATGACAATCAAAGTGCTAATGACCAAAACTTAGATAGATTTTCCATCGAATCTCTTAAAGAAATCTGAAAGACTTTGCTCTTGAACTGACAAAAAGCATTTGAAGTAAATCACCCATCACAATCAAGCTACTTCTATTTGTCTTAAAACTTCAGTAACTTTTGGTGGAATTACACAGTAGATTTCCTGCTGGCTCAAGATTTTACTTCATAAAATAAAATGGCAAAATGATTACTCGTCGTAAAATTTCATTGAAGGACATGGCAAAATAAATTAATGAGAAAAATAAAACACAGAGCACGGCTGCTGATGTTGAAAGCAAAGGAAAAAACCAAGACAAATTCAATGATCATTCAATCTACTACATATAAGACGAACTATTAATAAAGTACACCCACCAATTCGAAGGAAATGAAAGTTTTACATGATGTTAGAACAGGAATAGCTTTTTATCTCAGAACAACCTATTGCTATCATGTAAATTTTACATTGTAATTGACATGGTCAAAAATGAAAAAGTATTATGGGGGATGGGAAAATTCTCATTTTGTGGCAATCTGTCCATTAGAATAAAATTACTTAATTTTCCATTAAGACTTTTATCATCAATGAAACATGGCTTTTTTTCTTACAAATGAGCAACCGTGCTGCAGTTACTGTTACAACATTGAGAAAATTTACAATGCCTCTTGATAAATGGATAACATAATTACAACAATTTATCACATTTTAAAAACTAAATAACAATACTATTTGATTAGGCTTAATTATATGTGTTGATCGGTTGCTTGCAAGACTGATATTAAATTTTGTCATTTCAGATGTTCAGCGAATTGGGGCATTGGATGAGACATGTAGGGTGTCGGTAGAAATACACTTGAAACACAAAACACAATGCTTTCCTCGTTTGAACTCAACAATTCTCATAGAATTTTGAGGAACTTTTGAAACAAAAAGTAATCACTCAGTTTATTAACAACGTGGTTGAGGGAAAGAAAGTTCTGATTTACAGTTCGATACAACATCCAGGCCAATCAAGTAATATTAAGCAAATTTTAGTTTGAAAAATAAAAAACAGCCATAATCTAGTAATATTTTACGATGACTGACAATCTGATGATACATTTAAAATATTAACTTAGAATTAAATTGTTTAAAATTTCAAAAATGATTATTTACGGTTTACTGCAGAGAAATGGGCAGATGGTAGTTTTGAACATTTTAACATCAAACATGAAAGGTGTGGTTGACAAAATCATTCGTAACTTACTGAGCTCTTTTCTACTGTTAAATAGAGACAGGTTAGAAAAAAATCCGATTTTGTATTTTGCTTTGTTAAATCAGCTTACAAAATGATTGGATGATAGTATGCTGCGATCACCAAGAGAGATGAGCTTGACAAGGAATACAACAAATAAATTGAAATCCGTTAAAATACTAAACTCTTAATTAAATGTTTTTTATTCATTTTTTTCTTTTGTAGAAAAATCTATGACAAGGGCACCTGAAACAGAGCTGACAAGTGACAATGTTTCAAGAGTCTTTCGCATACGCATACTGAGTGCTTGTGCAGGTACCTTTGGCGAATAAAATGACCGAAGATTTTGATATCATAAAGAGCCATCTCATTCGGTTTTCAAAAAAAAAAAAAAAATATTAGAGTCTAACAATATTAATCTGCTAAAAGAGGACTGATTGAAATCACTGAAGTTGTGAAAAAATTCAACTGAAAACATGTTCTCAAAATCAAATTAAAACTGACCAAGGAGGTACTGAAGTCAACTCCAAATTATTATTTAATCAAAGTAAAACACTAAATCTACAATTTTTCAAGGGACATGATCTTAGAAACAAATATCACATACATGACAATCAGAAGTAAAACTACGTAACCATACTTGTGATTAGGTATAATAGTAAACTTTTACAAGATTATGCGTTTCACTTGATATTTATCCAAGAGTTTCGAGAAGAAACAGGACAAGAAACCTTAGCATTAACTCTACAGAAGAAAATTGAACTGTACAAGACAAAAGTTAAAAAGACATGAGTAGAATAAAACTAAAAGCCGAATCTTTCCTCACAGTTTTGAGATTGAAGCTCTTGAGACTTTTACACATTACTGAAGGAAAACTTCCATGTACTGGAGGAGAGGAAATGAAAAAATTGAATTACAATAACTTGAATCATGTTTTTAGCTTTGAACTTAGGTGGAGGAGAAAAGAAGCCTACGTACCTACAAAGTAAGTCCTCTCCCCTTACCGCCCACCCCCCAAACCATAATTCTCTAAACGCTGATCTAAGACAGGATAAATCAAATTTAATATTTATTGAAGCTTGACTAGTCACCTTCTTCCATTTTTTTTTTTTGCTTTTCTACCTAATGGAGCAAAACGAAAATTGTTTTTTTCTTTTTGGAAGAGAGGAGACGGCAGAGGAGAGAAAGAATTTGCATCGAAACTTGGTTATGAAATTGCTGCAATGTGGCTCTCATGATAGAGCACACTGATAATTACTGTAGTGGATGCTATTACTGTTGATCTAACAGCAACATCATTATAGAGGATGGTTTTTCAATGCATGATCAGCGCCTGTTGAAAGTGGGTCACCTTACTTCTTTCCTATGCGTTGACTACCCGACAAGTCAGGTGCTTTACATTCATATAGTTCTGCAAACTAGTATTCATATGGTTAAGCTATTTTTATTTCTGGAAGAGATGGGACAGAAAAAAACATTTGATCGAGCCAAGAGGGGCAGAATTCCATGCACAGCAAATAACTGGATTTGGATTTTCTTCATGACAAAGCAATGGTAAAAATGCTGGGTAAGAAATAAAAAAAACTTGATGACAAAAATTGACCCTGATGAATTTGGAAAAATGTTAATGTCATAATAATGAAAAAACTATGAACAATTTAAAGTCAAGTCACCTCGTTATTCGATTTCATTCTTTATCTTCCAACATATTTGCCACAGCTGTGTTGCGAATACAAATCCATGACTGTGGGTGACTTCGACGGTAAATTAGAAAGGCAGACATCTTTTGTGGATGAAAAACTCAAATATCAAAGCCTTGCGACCGATGAGAGGGATATTAAGAACAGTTGCCTGGTAAAAGGTAGTACATACTAAGAAGTATAGAAGCTTTAAGTTATGGAAAAAAAGGGATCGATGCCATTAATTAATGATTTTGTAAAAAGAGAGCGAATGGATAGCAGACAATATACAGATTCAAAATTGTTGAGGCATGACCAACCATAACTTTCATTTTCACTTTGATTTGATACATAATTTAGCCACATACTATGAAAACAAGTTTAGAAATGTCCAAAATAAAATTTTGAGATTCAAAGAACGGCAAAATTTGATTTTCATTACCGCACCCAAAAATAAAAACTGTACATAGATATTTCAGAGAAGTGCTGACTTGATTTTTTTTAGGAAAACAAAAATTACCAGCACATGGATTTGCTTTCCTTCTGATCTATACAATTGAAAAGATTTGATTTTGAAATTTAGAAGAGGACCAGAAAACAAGGTGAAAAAGAAACGCAGGAACAAAGAAGCAAAGCTGAATAGATAAAACTTTGGAAGGAATATAATTTGGAGAAAACATTAGAATTCTACGAGAAAAAATTCTCAACAAAGTCTGATTAGGACTAACGTGATGATAAAAGAGGGGATGAAAAGTTATTGATGAAAAATCACATGAACTTGAGAAAAGAAGCGGGCTGGAAAGAAGCTGACTGAATTTAGTTGATAGTTCTCGCTCCCCTCATCTTCTAAGAAAATGAGAGGGAGAGGGGGGGAGGGGGAATAAGAATATGAGATTAGATCCTTCTTCTAATTTAGAATTTTTAAACTGAGGAAAGGGTGGGAGCACAAGATACAGCCTGTTCTTAAATAGTTGCAACAAACTGACCTTTAATTAAATATCACAAAATCTATAATTCCTGAGAATAAGGTAAGCAGCATATTGCTTATTTACTTTACAATTTTTTACTTATCGATTCTTTCTTTTGAGTTGTTGCAAACTTTCGGCGCGAGACCTTGATTCACTAAGAAAAATAGTAACGTAAAAAAAAATAAAGATAAATTATTAGAAAGAAAACTAGAACAACTGAAAGAAATCATACAAGTTTATTTTTATGATGATACTATAACAGTACAATTGAAGAAGGTACTTTAGTTCTTTTATGATCTTCTTTCAAAATCTCATTGGCAACCGCACTAATTTAAACAACTTTTACTTCCAGATTTAGAATCAATTTTTTTTCCTTTTTTTTACATCACGGGGGATAGTTTAATATTAATTTCTAACAATAATTTCATTTTTTTCTAGTTTTTTATCTTTAAATTTTTAAGTTGTTTCTCACTTTTAAAACGAATAGTTTTCCTTTTCTTTCCTAAGTTTGAGATCGAAGAATACAAGCTGGTGATGGAGTCGGCAACATAAATATCTTTCAGCTTTGCTTAACACGTTTTCTGGGCGGTCCTATGGGTGGAATTTGTTGAGTGGCTAATGCTCTAAATGCTTCTGCTATTAGGTGAGGGTGGGAGTTGATCATCGACTTCCAGCCGGATGTATCCATAACATCCGTAGCGTGTCTGTAATTAAAAAAAAAAAAAAATAGAGCGATTATCGCACTGAATGAAACAAAAAGGACAGTCTCTTTAAGAAAAATGATCCGATTGGCAAAAATTCAGCATAGCACTAAAAAAACATTTCTTGCCAGGGACCAAAGTTGATTGTTTTTCTTATTTTCATTGACTGGTATCAACTCAAGTCAGTAGATATTCCATAGGACTGACCGCATCAAGTGCAGTAGTGAGGGTTCACATAGTTTCATCATTTCTCGATTACCTGGCTTTTTCTGCTGTTCTCAAACTTCAAACATTTTCGAATTCTCTGACTTTCTCTACTTTTTGAACAGAACTTCCACTTATACTTCTTTTCCTTGTATTATGCTGGCTTCCGATGAATTTTCATGAAATTCCCTGACTTTTCCTATGAATTCCCTAACTTTCACTAATTTTTCCAGGATGCTATAAATTCCCTGACTTTCCAGGTTTTCCAGACCTCTGTTGACCCTGAGTCATTTTTCTTTATTACATTCTCTATCTTAACTTTGTTGTATGCCTTGTTGGTATGATTACAGGCTGCTCTCTTGAATACTTTTTTTAAGCTTCACAAAAATATTGCTTGGTGACAAAAAGTGATATTTCTCGTTGACTTTTTTGTAGGAGACTATGAGATACTTACGTGTTGATGAAATCGATAGCTTGTGCTTTCAATTGATCAGCACTATGGAGATCAGCCAATATTAGAGTTTCTGCTGCATTTTCAATTGATAAATTAGTGCACAGCGCTTCTTCACACATTACTTTTAGCCTCTCTAGGGCATACTGAAAATGAAAAATAAGAATTGAATTATCTACTGATCATTCGATAATAGCCACCATAAAACAAGTTTATGAAGACATGTTAGAAAACCTAGAATTAGAATTGGAAGAATAGTATTTTTAACAAAATTATACCTGTAGTGAACTGAAAATATTTTAGTAGCTTTGAAGAGTTTTCATGAATTTGCTAAAATTAGGAGGGATTAACTTCATTTTTTGGGCTGTCAAAGTCTGAAAGAAAAACATGTTAATAATTCCATAATCTTCAAGGGGGAAACTAGTCTGGCCTTAAAAAAGGAGAACAAAATCCAAAACTATAGGTGATTTGACAACTTTCTGGAGGAGGGACCCTGGTTTTTTATGACAATTTTTCTCAGCGATTGTAGCCATTAATTGGGGTTGAAAATCCAGTGTTCAAGTTATGGCGGAGGTTAATACTCAAAGATTAAGAAGAGTAAGCTGTAAATCTTCCATGCCATTAGGATCCAAAACTCCCATTTTCATATATTTTCTTTCTTTTCTTCATGGGTCAAAACTTCAAGACTTCACAAAAGAATTTCATGCAATACTTTGTATTTACCTTATCTGCAGCTGCTAGGAGATCATCAGCCATTTTTTCTAGATTAGCTGCTTTGCCTGTGTAGATAAAACGGAGCATCTCGCGGAGAACCTCATGATCCACATCCGAGATTGCAACGCGATTGTGCTTCCTCTCTTCCATTTCGTGTTCAAACATTGCTGCAAAAACAGGACTCCTTGCAGCGAGGATGGCTTTGTGTGCTTGGAACTCTCGCCCAGAAACAGAAAGTGTGACGTCACTAAATTTCTGAACTTCGAATAGATGCCCCAGATCATCTGGCAATTTGCATTCCGGTACTTTGAATTGTATGGCATTTGATTGACCTGAGACATTCACACTATCTGCTACTACACTAACCTGTTGGGAAAAATTTTTTTTGATTATAGAATGACTATTATCAATCATCTGATAGATAATTAAAGTGACTAAAGCGGTAAGAGAAGTTAAAAATACAAAATCAAAGTATTCAGGCATACACGACATAACGTGGCTTCAAAAATCAACCTTTGAAGTTACTAGAAAATTGGTATGTTCTACCTATTTCTCTTGAAAATATTCTCATTTGATCACTAAACTCAGAACAATATTGGCAATGAAATAATATTCTCTCTAGTGCTCAAAAAATATAATTTCCATCAATTCTCTTTAGAAAAACTTAGTTTATAATCCGAAAATTTGAGGGTAATCGTAGAAGTCAAAGTTTCTGAGTTCCAGTTTAATGAAAAGTAAAAAGTCTGGAAGTTAAACTATTAATTTTCTTGTCTGTTACATACTAAGGATACATAATAAAAAGACAGAAAATTAGTTCCAAGGCGATGCTTGCACTTCAAGAAAAGTAAGCACCTGATACTAACCTCACAAAATATTGTTAATTTATCGTCGGGTAATAAGCCGTTTGCTTCATCTAAAAGAAAATCTCTGCGAATGAATTTCTTGAAGCCCCAGTCTTTCCCCTGGACAAACCTATATGCTCGTTGGCTCTCTGAAAAACATAAATAACATAATGTAAGTTTCAAATGAACAACGTTCCGCTTACAAAAGATCAATAATAATTTAGAAAATAAGAAATATTGAATAAAATACTTTTTAATGAAACATTCCTCTTTTCATTGGTTCGATGTCAATGAAGTCAATCATCATTGATGACCCACGGATCTGGCCCTGCTTACTTTTCATCTTTAGCAAGTAAAGTATGAACAACTGCAAAGTAGTGTACAGTGTTTCATGCGAATACTGTAGGTAGTCACATGAAAGTGATTAATTTCCTCACCATATGTAAGTGTCTTTTGACCTTCAAATTAATTCAGATTCAAACCATGATTTGCTGGTGAAAACTGAGTAAGATTAAGAGAACTTGTAAACAGAGCTGCATTATAATGTTTTCATAATGTAATTGGTATGTAGATGGTGAAACTAACAAACCACATGTATCAGTTTGCAAAGTTGCTGAATTCCTGTCGTACTTAATTTCATGAATAGAAAACTACTCGAAGTTATTTCTTAAAAACGTCAGTGATTTTTCTCCTCCATGCAAAGAAAACACTGTGGACACCTGAAGGAATATTATTGATTTTTTTCTCTGTCCAAAAAAATAAAATAATAACAGATTTTTGAACACCGCGCACGAAGTACGTTGAACAGGTTTCACTGTCTACATACATAAGAGTGTGTTGAGAGATGATAATAAAATTAGATATGATTTTACTAAAGAAATATCAGCTTACCCATAGCTTTGGTTTCTTCTCTTTTGGCATTAAGAATGGAGAACTTGAATTTGGCTCTAACTTCAGTCTTGTTACATGAGACTAGAAGTAGATACAGAGATAAATAGTCTTTACTCTCTTCATCCAAGCCTTTTGGATTAACTCGTAAACACCTGAAAAAAAAGGAAGAATACAAATATTAATACAAATATAATTATTATTATATAATTATTATTCGTACAATATTATACAAATTCATTGTTGCATCATGCATCATCCTATGAAGGGCATCAGAAAAAGAAAGCTGTTGCTTCCTTGCAATGCAGTATCATAACTGCAATACGCAAATTCCTTTAAATTCTTTGGGATACATCTTGAGCAAGTATCGGTCGATAGCATGGGTAAATAAAGTCTTGGAGGACAAGCAAGTGAATACTTCATAACATGTTGGAGCATTTAAAGTAAAACCCAGTATTTTAGAGCTTTTAAATAGCGTTAATGCGTTATTCAAATAATGGGCGATAGGGGAATATTTTGAATCGTTGGGTTATCAAAGAATTAACTGAAAATTATTCACGAAATGTAGGATTGAATATTGAATTGGTTTAATTATCAAGAATGAAAATCAAAACCGAACAACTTGCTGCTAAAAAAATACCTATTCACGAAACGGGAGGAGGTTACTTTGGCGTCACGTCAGTTCGCCTTCAATTTTTAGTATAGACAACGCAGGCTCCCAAGTGGTCGAATAGTGGTATCGTCGTGAAATGGCGGGCTAACTTTGAACACATTGAAAAACTAGCTTCTTCCTTTGCAGGAAAAGGGAACCTTGTCAGTTGACATTCAATTTTTTTAGTGTAGGCAATGCGAGCTCCCATGTGATCGAATAGTGGTGTCGTCGTGAAATGCCATGATCACTCCGACCACACTGAAAAATGGACTGCATTTTGCAATTTAGAACTATAAATTCTGGCTCATCTGGAAAAACACTTATGCGCATAGGGAAACTAATGGCACATACGTTGTTTTTAAACCGGGCTAGAATTTATAGTTCCAAATTGCAAAATGCAGTCCAAATAGCTTCTCATTATGCGGGAAGAGATCACTTTAACGTAATGTCAGTTTGCCTTCAATTTTAAGTGAGATGCAACGGTACGCTCATTCGGTACAGTAAATTTCAGTATTACACAGTTAATGATAAGACCATTTATTAGAATTATAATATGTGGCGAAGCATCTGGGCCCGTCACGGGCTTTTCGCTAGTTAAATAAAAAGAGCATTTGACGAAGAATAAGAGAAAGACGGTATGAGAAGAGATCAATCATGACTGCAACTCACCATTTGAGTTTGTCGTTGGCCCCTGCAGAGAAAGTGGAGGATTTGAGAACTTCGCCCATTTCTTCGCGGCAAAAACTGAAGTTGTTGATGGTCCACATGTAGCTGAATTTGACTACTTTCACCTGTGACAAAATAAGAGGACAATCATTAAAAAAGGGTGAACAATATGACGAGAAACATAATATTCATTTAAGCGACTAATCAAGCTCTTTCAACGCCCCGGAACAGCATAATGATCGATCTAATAAATAAGTGCCAAACAGATGTCCACACATACTTTGACACCTGCAAAATTTTATTGGCACTGACTGTTTCATTCCAACGTCGGAATCGGCAGTACGCGAAGAAAACTTTAAAAGCAATTTTAAACCGGACCTGACTGCGATGCTCTTTACGAGCCACCAAAAAAGTGAAAAAGAGTAAGTCCCTTTCCACCGTGCTAAAGAAAAACGCCGTATGGAACTTCGTCAGCTGCCAAATGGACTACATTATGCAATTGGGAACTATAAATTCTAGCCCGGTTTAAAACCAACGTATGTGCCATTAGTTTCCCCATGCAAATACGTGTTTTTCCAGAGGAGCCAGAATTTACAGTTCCAAATTGCAAATTGCAGTCCAAATATCCTTCAATTAAATACAAATTTTGAGGAAAACTTTTTAATACTTCCGTTCAATTTTTCAGAGAATTTTCGCGGTAATTAGATCTAAAATATCTACAAATTTCAAGAGAAAATATTCATCTCTCCTCACAAATAATAAACATTTCATTGGAGGAATTTTGGCAGCTCTCGAATGTACATACGGTGTTTTTCCCCAGCACGGCAGCTTCGTTCAGCAGATCAGCAGTAACTCTCCCGATCCCTGCAGGAGGACCGAAAAGGGGACAACCGAGTACCGAGCGAAACTAACGAGACTCGTTCGAGAAGAAGGCGATAAAGAGAGAAAGAAAAGAAGAGAAAAAAAGAGGAGGAAAAAAATTGGATCGAGAGTGTGCTCGGAAAAACGTGTTGCATCTGCACCAAGGTCCCGAGTCCTTGAGGACCCAAAAATAGGCGGGGACGCGGACTCGATCGACAGGATTCGCGTGTGCGCCNGGGGGGGGGGGGGGGGCTGGGCGAATTTTCCTCGTCACGAACGCGCTCTTCTTCAAAACCGGAGACAGGTAAAAATGCTTAAGCGAGTTCGAGTTTGCCTCGCTCCGTTTTCAGCGGACCTCACTATATGTACTTTTCGTGACGTTCTCATTAATTTCTGCGGCAGCCTCACTTTTTTTTACGGACTTTTTATGATATCGTGTCACTGACAAGGTCCTTCCGCCACACCCACGAATCCCTTCAGTTTGGAGCAATTTTTTTTGTCCCTCCTCCACTTGTTGTTCAAAATGGTCGTTGGAAGAATGTTTCTTCGGTGAGGTGACGGCATTCCGTTGGTGCTAACAGATACCTAGGAATAATCATTGCCCTTCCTGGGGGCACTCCCTTTCTGCGGACTGATTATTGAAATTGATAGACGAAGCGATAGATAAAGGGATTTAGGGAGTATGGAGCGATCCTATTGGTTGAAACGGTTGATTGTTACAGGTTAGGGGGTAAAACGATGGACTAACTGTAGGATCTCTTGTGGGTTGCCGTTAAAGTTAGTATATTACTTACCTCCTTTGTCCATTCCAACCACCCGATTCCACCGATAGGATCGCTTTATTTTCAGTTAGTCACGCTTGTCTATCGCTTTGTCGATCAATTTCAATTAACAGCCCGCTGGACGGTTAAAATAGAGGTATGGTGTTACAGGTTTCCCGATAAAAATTTGGCGTTGCAAACGAGTGCCTGACTTCGAGTACGTGAAATATTAATTCAGCTTTTGGGACATTGACATCATCAACCTTTAAAAGACTAAAAAGCTGTCAAATTGAACCTTCGGCGTGATGAAATCGAGCACGGCACAAATGGCTGACCCTGACAGTCGACTCCTTTCTTTACATTGTTGCCCCCACCGCCCACAGTGATGTTTCTTTCTAAAGGTGATAGTTCTGAGCGTAAAATTTTCTCTTCAAATTACAAGTTATGCCTGCCAAAGCCTGAATACTCTATAGCTTTGACGATCACTTTTAATAATCAGTCAACAAAAGCCATCTCCGCAAAGTGGCAGCTGAGTTTTTCCTGTTGAAATGTGCAGAAGTCTCGATTATTTGCATTTAATGCAATTCCGGATTTTCCGCGATTGCTGAATCAATAGCACGAACCTCTCAAAGATTACTTTCGAAACTGAAAAGGCATGTAACTTTTTGGTGTTTAACCTTGTGGAATTCTTAGTGACCATTTAATTATTTCATACATATCAGGATCCTGCGGGAGGAAGCTACAACTTAAGGATTTACTAAATATCCTAATGCGGCCAAATGGGGAGAAACTAACGATCAAGTCCTGATTACCTCTGAACATCCGCGATTTCGACTATTCGCGACTTTCGATTATCTGCGATACCACCGGCCCTTATAATCGCGGATAATCGAGACTAGATGTTTATCAAAGTAAGCTACCTCGCCTAGAATCGACTGTTCCGAGGAGAGCAAGCAAACTAACTACCGATCAAGTCCTGGTTCCAACTGATTAACCGCGATATTCGACTACCCGCGACTTTCGATTATCCGCGATACCACCAGCCCTAATAATCGCAGATAATCGAGACTAGATGTTCAACGAGGTAGGCTACCTCGCCTGGAATCGACTGTTCCAAGGAGAGTGAGCAAACTACCGATCAAGTCCTGATTCCCACTGATCAACCGCCATATTCGATTATCCGCGAAACCACCGGCCCTAATAACCGCGGATTGTCGAGTCTCTCGATGTTTATCGAAGTTAGAATCGACTGTTCCGAGGAGAGCAAGCAAACTGCCGATCAGGTCCTGATTTCTACTGATCAACCGCGATATTCGTTTATCCGCGACTTCCGAGTATCCGCGATACTACCGGCCCTAATAATCGCGGATAATCGAGACTCTCGATGTTTATCTAAGTTAGAATCGACTGTTCCGAGGAGAGCAAGCAAACTGCCGATCAAGTCCTGATTTCTACTGATTATCCGCGATATTCGACTATCCGCGATATTCGACTATCCGCGACTTCCGATTATCCGCGATACCACCGGTCCTGATAATCGCGGATAATCGAGACTAGATTTTTATCGAAGTCAGAATCGACTGTTCCGAGGAGAGCAAGTAAACTACCGATCAAGTCCTGATTCCCACTGATCAACCGCCATATTCGATTATCCGCGATAGCATCGGCCCCAATAATCGCGGATAATCGAGACTCTCGATGTTTATCTAAGTTAGAATCGACTGTTCTGAAGAGAGCAAGCAAACTACCGATCAACTCCTGATTCCGACTGACCATCCGCGTTCCGATTATCCGCGATACCACCGGCCCTAATAATCGCGGATAATCGAGACTCTCGATGTTCATCGAAGTCAGAATCGACGGTTCCGAGGAGAGCGAGCATTGCTTCCTGGCGAGCGAGAATAAATCGCACGGGGGGCAACAGCGCGGACGGGGGCGCGAGTATAAAGTGTCGACCTTGAATTTCTTCCGTTCCGTGAGCAATGGCGACGAGTGCGGGCGCGGCTGTCGGACGAGGGGCCGACGTCCGAGTTTCCCGGGCGGCGATGACGTGCGGCGGCGGCGACGCGGCAACGCCGTCGCCGGGGTCTATGACCGGTTTCGGAAAGGGTCATCCGATTCACGAAGATTCATGGGTTTCGAATTCGAGCACGGATCGGGCGGCTACGGGGGCTGTTGAACTCACGTTGCCGACGTGAGCCGCGCCCCGGCCCCGGAATGACGTCACTTCGCACTCGGCTCCCGGTATAATTGCCCACGTGGCGACGCCCGCCGCGACACGTCACTCCGAGCACACTCCCGGCTATCGATTTTAACTTAAACGCCAAATATTTCACCGAGACACCTATGATGTAGAATCCCTATGAACTCAGAGATACTAGCAGTGCTCTCCAGTGGCGTGGCGTGAATTGTGATGTATCGATTGTTATGTCATTTAAACCCATGGTAAAGAATCGATTATGAAGGTGTTCGCTGCGAACACCCTATTTATCGATCCTTTTCCATAGGTTTAAATGGCCGATCAATCGATACATCGCAAAGCACGCCACGCCACTGGTGCTCTCATTCCATGACCGTCAACTTGTCACTCACAGTCAAGTGTTAGGGTTGCTAGCAATATGAAATATGTTGAAGATGGAAACTCCGAAGGGAATCTGTTGGTCTGGAAAACAGTCTGATCGCAGGAAAAAATAGAGGTGATAAGGGTCGAATTTGGATCAATGTGGAATACCAAACTTTTCGGTTATAACAACTAAAACTGAATGCGGTGAAGTACGGTTCCAAGTAGGTGCCGGAAATTGTGCTAAGATGGACTGCTGTCGAGAAGCGTAGCTACCTAGAATTTGATTTTGTCTCAAATTTTTCCATCTCTATAGCTATTTATTTTAGGTGGGTTGGAGGTCGTATGCTCATCGGAGAAAAGTCAAGGATTTTTCTTCCAGGCTTCCTCGCCAAAAAATCACGTCAAAGTTAAGCTCCCGTTTCCCGTAGCGCCTGCTCAAGACGTCACCCACCCATGAGTGACGAAAATATCAGAGGGCCGATCACTAAACCTTGGGAAAGTTTTAAATAGGTGTCCCCGTGAAATATTTCACTTCTAAGTCAAAATCGATATCGGAAAGTGTGCTCTCAAGTCCCTTTAAAGGGAGAGTCAAGACAATCCGACTCATGGATTTCACAAACTGGGATGAAGATTACACATTTTCAACGTTTTCATCAACTTCATCTCAAATTCGTTTCCTCTGTTGTTCCGTTAAGTGTCCCTCACTCCCTGGTCCGTTTCAGTTCGCATAATCTTTGCAATCGGTAAAAATGTAACCTTTATTCCCGTTTGTAACACTGCATAAGCCTGTTATTTGAATATGTATCCACTTGCTCAGGTTCTCTACCAAAAAAAAGTCCTCGGAAGATGGGAAGAGAATACTTCCTACAAGACACACACACACAGTGAAAAATAAAAAAAAAAAACGTTGATTGGGATTTTATTTGTGACATTCATAATC